AGCTAAAATGAGTAAACAAAAATGAACAAGTAAAAGAGACAAGATAAAGCATCTTTCGTGTTGCATTGCATGTGTTCGGATCGAACATTAATTCGAACATGAGGAAAATGGGACGCTTCATACTCAAAGTGATGAAATGTGCCACTTTCCTTGGTCATCATCACCCTTGATCATGCATGATAGGGTAGTGGTTTTGTTGAGTCTTGTTTTACACTCATTAAGCTTGTACAAGCTTGGTTTCTTAGCCATTAAGCATAGAAAATGCTTGGTTGATGGTTTGAGGGCCAAGAGTTACACTCTTTTGAGCTTGTGTAATGATAAGGAGAGTAACAGTACAGACAAACACTACAAGAAAAAACACTTTCCGTGACCAACATTTTGGTCGCGAAAAGTATCATATTTGGTCGCGAAAACCTTTCGCGACCAAAATATGTTGGTCGCGAGTTGGTCGCTAAAGCCTCGTCACAGATAGTTTTCTGCGACCAAAAAAGCCTTTGGTCACTAAAAGTGACCATTCGCGACCAACTTTTTTGGTCGCGGAAAGTCCAATTCATATTAGCCAAAAGTAAACTTTTAGCGACCAAAGATAAATTGGTCGCCAAAAGTCAGCGCCTTGACCCAAAAATAATAATTCTTTTGTGCTGCCTGGGACTTGAACTCCTAACCAAGGAGTCACCATGCACCCAATCCACTCTGCCAATAACATGTTTCTTGTTCATATTTGGCAAAAAATATATATAACCCATAAAAATTGGGTTATATATTATTTTATAAAACTTTTAATGCCTAAACAGAAAAATAGCATGTAATTACAGTAGTATCATTTTTTAAAAATTTATCCCGCCATAACTTTCCGCGACCAACTTTGTTTTTTGGTCGCCAAAGGGTAATCTTCTGCGACCAAAAAAGCCTTTGGTCGCCAATAGTATACTTTCCACGACCAAATTTTTTTTTTGGTCGCCAAAAGGTGATCTTCTGCGACCAAAAAAGCCTTTGGTCACCAATAGTATACTTTCCGTGACCAATTTTTTTTTTTGGTCACCAAAGGGTAATCTTCCGCAACCAAAAAAGCCTTTGGTCGCCAATAGTATACTTTCCGCGACCAACTTTTTTTTTTGGTCGCCAAAGGGTATACTTTCTGTGACTAACTTGTTTTTTGGTCGCCAAAAGGTGATCTTCCGCGACCAAAAAAGCCTTTGGTCACCAATAGGTATACTTTTCGCTACCAACTTTTTTTTTGGTTGCCAAAAGGTGATTTTCCGGGACTAAAAAATTGTGGTCGCCAAAAGTTAAATTTTGGTCGCAGAAAGTGGACTATTTGCGACAAAAAAAAATAGGTGGTCGCCAAAAGTGTTTTTTCTTGTAGTGAAACCTTGAGAATACACTGCTGTGCCTCTGTTTGCTCTCTGTTGTAGCAAAAAAAAAAAGAAGTTCAGGGCAGGGGTGGCCGACCGGCCACGAGCAGTGGCAGACGGCCACCATTGGTAGCCAATGGGCCATCAATGAAGAAAGTTTCTCAATGTGTTCCTGAGGTGGAGCAGAGGTGTTCTGGAAGTTGGTGCAATTTTCAGTGATAAAAAATGTACAAACAGAGGCTGTAATGGCAAGGCGGTGGCATTTTCGGGTGGAGAAGCCGAGCATGCATGCACCCCTCACCCCTCGAGGCCATTTACTTTCTTTGTTTAATTAGTTAGTTGTAGCTAATTCATTCATACAAGTGTTATAACTATTTAGTTAATTAATTCATTTTGCAATTGATTAGCATAATTCGATTTGTAATAATTAGTTAACTAGAATTAGTTAATTAGTTTTGAGTTTTGTAATAGTTAGCTTAATCAGTTTAGCTAGCTAGTTCTTTCGGACCCTCATTTCCAAGGGCATAATGTTGTAATAAGTGTGCGTGCGTGTGTGCATGTCTTCCAACCCCACGTCTTTCTCTCTTTTATTTAATAGCTTTTGATGGTTAGATTAGGGACATTTTCAATTACCATACCTTGTGCTTGCATGTTTGCATCCATTCATTTGTCTTGCATGCACCGAGGCTCGGCGCATCATTCAAACTACATCGTCATTTCAATATCTTATTTGAACACGTGTTTAAAGGCATGTTATCAAATTGAATCATATGCCATATTAGTAGCCGAGTCTATTAATTGCATATTGCATGTGTTTCATTAGGCATCTTGTATAGTTAGGATCATGCATTCTTTCTAACTAGTTTTTGTTTTGGCTTGGAGTACTCGGTAAGTTTTATCCTTTAGCATACTTGCATGAGTGTGATTGCCATGTTGCCATGTTTCGCATGCTTACCATGAGGCTATGTGCTTATTTGCTAAACTGCATGAATGCCTGTGGATGAAGGCTTGTTGTTTGAATTGGACCAATTCAACGAATGTTTGTTTTAAGCCCACTTTGTCGTGGCAAAATCATGTTTTAAGCCCACTATGTTTTGTGGCAAATCCGTATCTTTTAAGCCCACTTGAGGGTGGCAAATTCAAATCATTTTTGAAAACAAACATGAGTTGAATTGTTCCAAGTCTTGCAAACTAGTTTATACGTGCTTGTGTGCGTCACCTAGTAAAGTTAGATTAATAACCGGAATAAGAGTACATAATGTTTATAAAAGAACATATCATGATTAGTAGAGGCTGGTCTTTGATCGGGCGTGCGGGGATGCTCATTTCAGGACCTTCCCCTCTTGTACCCAAGTTCTCGAGCTGAGGCAACTTTGGTGATGACAGACACGTGGCCTTTGGCATGAGTCAGGGTTTCCTAAATTTCTCCAAAAAATATTTAGGTAGCAACTCTGTATCTGGCAAAGCAGTCCAAATTTTGGCATTATTTGATTTAAATTCTATTTTCCAAAAATGTTTGCCAGATTTGGACTCTTTGGTGATTATTAGTTTCACATTGCACGTGTGAGACTAGATTCAGAACCGCGGGAGTCTGAACTGTGAGGCCTTTCTTTTAACCCTTTTCGAAAGGTGGGGCACAGAAAAAGGCGAGGCCACAATGAGCCACTCCAAAATCCACCAAAACTTCAAGCCCAAGTTCCTCAGAATCCACCGAAGAACAACTTTCTCTTTTGTGAATAAAAGAAAATAAAGAAACCCCTTGATGATGTTGATATAAAGTTCATTGATCCATTGATCACTCTTAAATCATCAAGGAAACACTCATAAATCTCCCTAAAATATAAAACACTTTGTTTTTTTCTTCCCAGAAGTTTAGGCGCTTTGCAAAAACATTGGATGATCATTTTCTTTGCTATAGCACACAAATGACAGTTCCAGCGGTCAAACAACTTCGACTGCATTTTTGCTTTTTGCTTCGGGGGCGCTGCCCTCTGGACCCCCGCGAGCTGACCGGGCAGCTCAATCCCCGTACATAGTCAACGAAGTGGCAAACATGAAAGCCTAAAGATCACAAACTTCTCTACATAGACACAATTCGGGTTGGATTTGTATCTAAACATTCATAACCTCATTGAAATAAAAGAACGAATAAAATTACAATTGAAAAGAGTTTTGTCAAACAGGATTGCCAATTACAAAAACCTAACAAGGTGTGATTGGAGGTTGAGGGGGTCTGAGTTGGGCATATGGGCTTGAGGTGGCAGAGACTATGTTGTGGAGATGGGATGAGGTTAGGAAGAGTGGATAGAGTGGGGGTTGGAGGAGTTGAGGGATGTATAAAATTATTAATTTTGATTCTCCCTTAGTTTACAATTAGTCTTGGTAAATTATAAATACATCCTCTAAGTTTTTCTTAAAATATGGATTACTTTCTATGATTTGAAAAACTACAAATAAATCTTTGTTAGAATTTTTTATTTAATAGAATTAACTAAAAAAATAAAGCCTTGTTTGGTTTCAATTTGGAAAATAATTTTTGAGAGCCCAAAATTGAAGACTCATTTGTTCAGAATTTTCTCAAAACTATTCCAAAATTTTCACTATCCCCAAAACTATTTCAAATCAATTCCAAAATTTTCACTATTCCCAAAATTATTTCAAATCAAATTTATCTCTATTACCAAAGTTACATTAATTGAACCAATATCTATGTTAAAAATATGCAATACATTATATTTTAAAGTTAATCGAATTTTTTTTGAATAAAACTTTGCAAAGAAGTTATTTGTCAATTCATATAAAAGTTTAAAATAAAATGAATATTTATTTTAAATTAATAAAAACATATTTTTGAAAATAGAGAAACAAAGTGTTAAATTTAAATTCGAACGACCAGTGTGAAATGAGTAAATAATTTTTAAAGCTTTTTTTGGTTTAAAGTATCAAAAACATACGAAAATGTATTAAATTTTTGTATATTTGTTAGTATTTATTGAATTTTAAAAAGTTTTTTTTTTTTTTTTTTTTTAATTTAACTTCTTTTTTTTTTTTTTAAATTTTATATGTTTTAAGTGTATTTAGATTGAGTGAATATAAAATCTTTAAAATATTGATTAAAATATTTAAAAAGTTTACTACAAACAAAATACATTTATATTATATGCATCTAAAAAGTATATTTAGATTAGGTATATCTAAAAAGTAAAAAAAAAAATATTGACTAAAATCCAAAAAAAGTTGTCTAAAGATAACAAAACACAAAAAATAAAAAATTCAAAAACTAGCATAATACATGTATATATATATAGGAAAATGTTTGGTAGCTCAAAATTTTGTGGCTCAAATCTGTCAAAACGACGTCGTTTTACACTCAAAATCTGTCAAAACGACGTCGTTTTAAGTGATTTGAGCCATTTGAGCCACAAAATTTTGAACTACCTAGCATTGTCGTATATATATATATGAATTGGTAAAGGGGTGTCAGCCAGCTGAGGGCTGCCGACATGTCAGCTGCCGACATCAATGATAAAAAATAAATATGTGAGTGACACAAAAAGTAACCTATAAAATAATATATATATATATATATATATCTATAACATATATAAAAAGAAAGGTAAGAGTGGTGTAACAGATGGTGTAACGATGGGGCTACGTGGCCTTCAGCTTAGCCATACAGGATGGTACAAACAAATAATTTCCAAAGCTCCTCGTAGAAATTTCCCAAAACGGTGGTCTGCTCTTTGCCTATTTCCCAAACTCCTCCTTGCCAAATTTGGTTGCAGAATTTGGGTTAGTCACGTGGAATTCAGTTTAGCCACACTGAAAATGAAGAAGAAAACAAGGGGGACCCCTTCGAACAACATATATATATACATATCTGGTGGATGGAGTTGCTGTTATCTTGTTCTTCCCATCTCTGTCGGTGTTGTTGCCGCCGTAACGCTGTCAAAATTGGGTATCCAAAGCTTCGCTCTTGCCGTTGCAAATCCTGGTAATTACATATGTAATTTCATGCCTATTATTTACAAGTGTGTTGAACAATATTTATCCATACTATTTTTCACCCCTGCCCATATGTTTGTTGCCTCTTTGTTTTCACCCCTGCCCCTGCACACCATGTGTTTGTCAATAGGTCTCAATAAACCAAGACTTTGCCAGGAATAATAAAGAAACGGGAAAATTCCAACATTTCGAAACTAGCCAATTTCGAACCCCACTCAAACAAAGACAATAATTCCCATGTGATGAAATTGTTATAGCTAATAAGATAGTTGGATTTTTCAAAAGTCCACATTCTGGAAGGTTTGCTGATGGTTGGTCTGATAACAACTATGAGGACAAGAAGATTGAGAACAAATTAGTATAAGGCACAAAGTAAATAGTTATAGAATACATTCACTACTACAGGATCATACACCATGAGAATAGTCATAAAAGGTTTTAATCATGTAAATCATAAATTGACAGAAATCAAACATAACTTAAATTAAGAAGAAATTTATAAGAAGAAAAAAAAAAAGAAGAAATCTTTATCACTTGAGTGAAGCCAAAAAAAAAAAAAAAAAAATCATAAGAGATAAAATCTGATATTCCATCACAATTTATTCATTGAAATCTCAGAAATCCAATTTACTCTATTAGAGTCTTCTATTTGGGTGAAAGAAAAAGCCAACAACAAGAAAGAAATTCTAGAATTAAAGAGTCTAACAGAAACTAAGATCATGATTTGGAAGGGGAAAAACCAAGGCAGCTAAAGGCATGGTCAATCATAAAGAAGGGGGAAAATTCCAACGTTTACAAACCATCCAATTTCCAACCCCACTCAAACAAAGACAATAATTCCAAAGTTATGAAAATTTTATAGCTAATAAGACAACAAGAAAGAAAAAGGCAACAGCTAGAAAGAAATTGTAGAATGAAAGATTCTAATAGAAACTAAGACCATGATTTGGAAGGGGAAAAAACTAGGCAGCTAAAGGCATGCTCTTCATAAAACCAAACATGTTTATTGATTCATCTGCTCCATAAAACTGAAGAAGATTGATTTGCCCCATAATCACCCATTCAAATATTCTAAAAGGTTGAGTTAAGTGTATATGTATCATTTTCAGCAACCAAAACAATATATATTTTTTTTTTTCCTTTTAAAGAGACTATCCTTCTAGTATTTAAATTGGAGTGATTCTGAAATGGATTTTCATGTAAAGTTGTTTTGGTGTGGAGTTTTATATCTATATGTTTTGAATTTGGATTTGGATTTGGTTGTTTTCTTCGGTGTGAATTTTTGATTTTTTGATTTTTTGGTGTAGTGCCTCCAACTTAAAAGAAACCCAACTTCAAATCATATATCTTCAGCCTACTAAATATAAACTTGAGGTAGTGCAATTACACAAGTTCAAAGATTAGTAAAGAAAATTTGAAGTATAATGTATATTAATTAATTTAACACGTTCATGATTTAAATGTCAAAAAACCTGCCACCAATGGTTCTCAAAAGATATAAATATACATGATAGATGAAATGTATATTATGGAGCAGATCAAGGAGTTACTTGCCCACATAAATATATACATAGCGAGAGAGTGCGGGGGGGCGGGAGAGGGGGTAGGGATAGAGAACAACAATAAAACATGGGTTGGCAATGATTTGAATGTGAATATAATGATACCAAAATTTCAGTATGGCTCAAGCACATCGATGAATTGGTAGCGGCGATGGGAAGTGGAAAAACACAGTTTGTGTACAGTGTTCCAGCTTCCCATCAACAAAGGACATAGACATCTAAATAAACTCCAAATTCAATTCCAAACCTACGAAGAATTTTGTCTCTCTTGTTTTGAAGAAGTTGGTGTGCAAAGCAACGACCTTCGATGTTAGCTCCAGGACTTCCAATAAGTTGGAATGGTGACTGAAATCTCTCCAGACCATTTATGTTCTGCTACCCTCTAAACAAAACAGGTGTTCCTGCAAAAATGAAAAGATCATTCAACAAATAGAGAGAAACAAAATTAACCATACAAATTGCAAAATTGTATTATTTTCTCTTTCACATGTGGCTGACTATATCTATTAATGAAAGTCTAGCTAATAGACAAGTAAACCCAAAATGGTCCAAAATTGAAATGGGCACAACAACTAACTCAAAAGCAAAAAAATAGAAGAATCCCACGTAACTGATTTCAGGTTATGTGTGAAAGTAATAAAAAGAGGCCAAAATTTCAATCCACTCCATTAAGCACGTCATAGTTAATGATAGCCCCAACATTTAATTCAAAAACAAAGAGAAGAGAAACCAAACATCATTGAAACAATTGAATGGTGAATGAGTGTGAAGCACCATAAGCATAACACCTACCATGACGATAAAGTGAAATGCTTATGGATCACAAGCTTGGCATGTTCTCATTCGGAAAAAATTTAAAAACAATTAAAAAAAAAAAACCCAACTTTACATGTTCCCAAGGCTAAGGGAAGATTGCTTTTATTGTACATGTTTATTTTATTATTCAATTTGTGTTTGTCACTTACTTTGCGAGTTTTCCTTTCTTTTGTTCAAAGTGGGTCCTCTACTCTGTTAATGATTTTTCTTTCTTGATGAATTTGGAACTGGGTTAGCATTGTTGTTTTTGTTTTGTCCTTCTTTAATCTTCTTGCGATACGAAATAATATTATTTGCCAAGATGCAAACAGACCAGTTCAGTATAATATCTTAAGTATAATGACATGCGTTGTCTTGATTGGATTGGAAAGCTTGGTTCATGAGTCTTCTTTAATGGCTTTCTTTTCTTCTGTATGTTTCTGATTTTTTTGGGACTTAAAATGAAAAAAAAAAAAAAAACTACAGGCACAACCATTTAAATTGTATGGAAACTCATAGGCAACATCTGAAGAACAAGACAAAATCTCAAAGATTGTAAAATCACCTTCATTCGTAGAGAAGGAAACTCTGCAGTAGATGCATTATGCAACCACATCAAAGGAAAATATGGGAATTTCAAATACGACGACAAGACTTTACCACGCAAAATTAAAAATATTGTACATCAAGAAAGGCAAGGATGTATCTATACACATTGTACATAATCACACAAACATAAAGTACTTCTTCTTCTTATCTTTTGTTAACAAATCCCCACCGTATACCTACTATAATGTACAATGTTATGAAGAAAAGATATTGTATGGAGTGATATAATGAACATATTTTTTTTGGTAAATTTTTCTTGGGCTACATATGATATATGTGAAATATAAAAGGGACTACAATATGGGTCTCCAATTCCAATCACAACACCAACGGCACACATTGAGTTGTAAGCATCAATCACAAACCACATTCAAGTTGGCTAATGTGAACTGCCACTAAGTACATGATCTGAATGCTTTGCATGATCTAATATTAAATATAAGATCTAATTACATTTCACTTCTCAAATTCATAAACCAAACACAATTTTAAAAATATTTAAATTGAAACTATAGCATGGTCCCCACGTGCAACGCACGTGGGGGGCCAACTAATATATATATATATATCTACGTAAGTGGCTGCCACCACCACTAAAAGAAATATATATATATATATATATAATATACATATATAATAATAATAAAATAAAATAAGGTGGAGAATGGATCTAAAACAATTTTGGTCAAAACAGGTGAAGTTTGGAATTAAAACATAAATCTAATTTTTCTACTGAGAATTTCATAAAATAGCATATTTCAATTTTTATCATTGGGTGTTCAGAAGAAAGCGCCTAAGTCTTAGGATTGGTTAAAATGGGGTGTCTACAAATAGATCCCATTAACTAGTAGTGTGTATCACTATACCCCATCTATGAATCTGTACATATTGACCTCTTAAATATAAAAATAATACAAATTTACTAATTCAAGAGGTGGTCTAGAGGGGGTGAAAGTGATACGCTTTTATAGTTGAAAGGGTCAAAAGTATCGATTCATAGTTGTAAAGGTAAATGATATTTACTAATAGATGAGGGGGTTTCAGTGTAATTAACCCTACAAATTTTATTGAAAAAATTAGACTATTCTTCAAAAATTTTAATAGCTTACCTTACTATATAAATAAAAAATTGCAAAACAGGGAAAACAGTTTATATTAGAAAAAGGAATGTTGATGCACAACCATGATTATGAAAAACACTTCTTTTTTCTTTTTTTTTTTCATCTAGGATTCGTCCAATTGTTTCAACAAGGAGAATAACATAGTTTTACCTAGAAAACAAAGAGAATAACATAGTCATTTTGTTCTTTATTGCATGAGAATTTATAATTAAGTTCAAGTCATGGCATTCTTATTGTGCTTTATTTTTAATCTTGATGTTTTCTTCAGATTTGAGTCAAAATTCATCCACAAAATTGTAGAAGTGGTTGCAGACAAACTAAAATGCAAAATCTTGGGCAATTCCCCTTACTTGATTGGAATACATTCTCGAGCAAAAAATATTGGGCTTTGGTTACAAGATGAGTGTAGTGATGTTGGTATAGTCACAATTTGTGGGATAGGTGGAATAGGGAAGACAACTATTGCCAAATTCCTATATAATTCAAACTTCTCAAGATTCGAATGCAGTAGTTTTCTTGCAAATGTAAGAGAAATTCTAAAACAACCAAATGGTTTACTTCAATTACAAACACAACTTCTTTCAGACATTTTAAAGGGAAGAAAGGAAAATTTGTACAGTGTTGATGAAGGAATTGTTAAAATTACACATGCATTATGTTGCAAAAGAGTTCTTGTAATTCTTGATGATGTGGATACAATGGACCAATTAGATGCAGTACTTGGAATGCGAGATTGGTTTTCTCAAGGTAGTAAAATCATCATAACCACTAGACGTGTGCGGTTGCTAAGGGCTCATGAAGTTTACCAGGTTCACAATGTTGAAAATTTGAACTACAATGAATCCTTGGAGCTCTTTAGTTGGCATGCCTTTGGGAAAAACTGTCCCATTGATGGTTTCATAGAGGACTCAAAAAGGGTGGTACAATACTGTGGAGGGCTTCCATTAGCTATCAAAATTTTGGGTTCTTCTCTATCTGGAAAAAGCTTAATTGTCTGGAAAAGTCATCTAGAAAAATTGAAAGCAATCCCCAATTATGAAGTTGTTGAAAAGCTCAAAATAAGCTATGACTCTTTACAAGATGACCACGACAAAAATTTATTCCTCCATGTTGCTTGTTTTTTTGTTGGGATGGATGAAGATTGGGTAGTTACCATTCTAGATGGATGTGATTTTTACACAACGGTTGGGATTCAAAATCTCATTGATAGATGTCTGTTAACGGTTGATGAACGCAGACAGCTAGTGATGCATCAATTGGTTCAAGAAATGGGAAGAGAAATTGTTCGCCAAGAATCACCTAAGGAACTAGGAGAACGTAGTAGACTATGGAATCATAAAGATTCTTTCAATGTCTTGAGAGAAAATACTGTAAGAATTAATCCTACTACTCATTTATATTTGTATGTATTTGTGCAGTTATTTATTATCAAAACATGATCCAAACATAGAAACTTCATACCAAAAAAACATTATTCGTTAGTTAAATTGGTGGTGTTTTCATTTGAAATGAAAGTTACATATCATTCGGTATGTGAATTTTGTACAAAACAATTTTTTTTTTTTTGGGTATATCAGAAAGTAACTATACAAAGCATTTGTTTTTATATTATTACTCTTCTTGATCAATGTCATCTCCCTCTCGTTCTTTGTCAGGGGACAGGAAAAATTGAAGGCCTCAAACTTGATATGAATTTTTTGGAGGATAAATATGACAGGACAGTCTCTGGTATCAAAAGAAAATGTCATTTTGAAGAATTCCTCAGCACATCATTGTTGTTAAATGTAGGAAATTTGTTTAAAAGACAGTGTTTTGGCATCTTCTGCTGGAAGACAGTAGGCACTGCTCTGCGAAATTCAGATAAGATAGCTTTGGAAGTTGATGCATTTGCAAGGATGCACAAATTAAAACTTTTGCAACTCAAAAATTTACAAGTCAATGGAAGATTTGAAAATTTTTCGAAAGGATTACGATGGTTGTGTTGGCATGGATTCTCTTTCAACTCTATATGCGATGATTTCCCTTTGGATAACCTGGTTGTTCTTGACATGCAGTATAGCAACTTGCAAAAGGTTTGGGAAGGAACCAAGGTATGTTACTCATTTGTTTGTTTTCATTTCAATTTTGTTTGAGAATTAAAAGAAACAATAACCAACATTTTTTTTTCTATTACAGTTTCTCGAGTCATTAAAAATCCTTGATCTTAGTCATTCCCATTGCCTTTTTGAAACTCCTGATTTCTTGGAAGTACCCAATCTTGAGCGATTAATACTTGAAAATTGTGCACGGCTGGTAGAGGTTCATGAATCTGTTGGACACCTTCAGAGACTTGTTTTATTAAATTTAAAAGATTGCAAAAATCTAAGGAAGCTTCCAAGAAGCATTGTTATGCTAAATTTTTTGGAAACACTTGACATTTCAGGTTGCTCAAATATTAAGGAATTGCCAGTAGAGATGGGGACTATGGATTCTTTAACAAAGTTTAGTGCAAATGGAACTATCGTAAGTCAATTACTCTCTACCACGAAGGTGGTCAAACCTTGGTATTCATTCATCTGGCCTTCTCTATCGAAACCAAGAAAAAGCGTAAAAATTTCATGTGCTCTTTTACCACGATATTTGGTACACTTAAGTCTTGTGAATTGCAATTTATCGGAGGATGCTTTTCCAATGGATCTTAGCAACCTATCCTCATTGCAGATATTAAATCTAAGCAATAATCCAATTTGTAACCTCCCAAATTGCATTGGAGGTCTTACTGGACTTCAGATCCTTGAATTAGATAAGTGTAGAAGGCTTCAATCACTTACACTGGAGCAGAATTTGAAAGTATTGTCGGTCTCTGAATGTGCATTGTTAGAGAAAGTAACATTTCAATCATTTCCATCAACCATAGAATTCAAGAACCTTTATGACGCATATATAACATGGAAGAATTTGAAGGAGTTTTACTACTCAAAATGTGCGTTGCATTCAGCTCCATCAACCATGAAATATAATAACATGTGGGAGAATCAATTTGTTGTGATAAACCATTGGAGTCCATATCTATTCTATGGTATGTGCAACAATATAGTTGAGATTATGGGCCGATTTAAGTTAGAACCCATAGGGAATATTGACATGGAGATAATGAATAATTTGGGCTTTCCCAACTTAGGATCCGTAGGAAGCCCAACTGTTATGCTTTCATGCGGGTTTTTAAAGAATCCAAGGAAGCTTCCCTTGCAGGTCTCTCTCTCTCTCTCTCTCTCTCTCTCTCTCTCTCAAAATAAACAAAAATAAAAATAGTAAAAAATTGTAATGGTTAAATTATGGTTTCTTTGGTATAGGGATGTCATGAAGAACATATATTTTACGCTTATCTTCCGGAAAGCAAGATTCCAACTTGGTTTAATCTTAAAAATACCGGATCTTCAATATCTTTTATTGTGCCATCTCATCTCAGAATTCAAGCCTTGAGTGTGTGTTCTATTTATGCACTTTCCAATAATACAAAAGATCCTGACTATAAGCATAATGCACATACTATTATCAATAATACGATGAAGAGTTTGATTTGGAGTCATACCCCACGAGTCTTTGGCATTCCAGAAGCTGATGAGGATATGATGTGGTTAAGTTACTGGAAGTTTGGAAATCAGTTGGAAGGTGGGGATGAACTGAATATTTCAGTGGTTGGAGATGAAGATTTTCAAGTGAAGGAGGTCGGAGTCCATCTAGTGTACAAGGAGCAAGAAGAGAAGAGTAGCCAATTAACTAGTGAAGAAGCATCCCAATTACAATGCTCTCTCTATGGAAATGTCGTTCCTGGAAATGCTTCTATAGTACATCCGGTGAGCAGAAAAGTCTTCCGCCTTGGCGGTCGTTCGGTGGACTGTTCAATTTGTGGCAGTCTATAACCTCAAGCTTTGTGCACTAACTAGGCAATTGGTTGCTTCAAGACTAGTGAGAGATTCAGTAGGGAACAATTCTTGCTCTTTTTCCTTATAATTATGTTGTGTTGTGTGATGATAATATGTTATATGCTGGATATTCTTCATGATGTTAAGGATTTTGAATAACTAATATGAATTTTAGTTCTTTTCTCTGCTTTTGTTGAACCCGTTACTGATTTATTTATTTTACTTTGGAATTTCTGATATGTGCTTTGCTAACCAATGGCAATTTGAAAGATGGTAGAGGAGGTATTCCGGTTTATTTAAGGTTTGGGGAAGGATGTGCTCTCTGGGGAGGCAATTAATTCATTGGAGAAGACAGTTTGCTAATGACTAGCTATTTATCTTCGTTTTGCTGTTATTCTGGTTGGATTTTATTGCTTAATAAGTCTCTTGACAGAAGACTTTGTTGTTGATTAGTTAGTTTGAGAGGGTGTTCCGTAGTTTGTTTTGATGTAGGTGCTTATGCTTTGTTTGCCTCCTTTTTCCAATTATGTTCATTTTCAGTTGTCTTTGTTTGTGGTTAAGGTGTTTGCTCACAATTGGTTTATGGTATGTAACAATCTAATTGAGGTGTGCCATTTTTTCATAAAATTTTCTCCTTAGTTAATTACCTGGTGTTTGATAATACTAAGTGTTGAAATTTCTAACCTCAAAAAATATTTGATAAAAATTTGAAAGAAAATGATATACAAGTCCATTTTGTAGATAAAATTTTCAGACCTAATGATGTATAAGTGAGATGATTAGAGAAGATATGATAGAAAGTTGTCTCATATATTCTATTTGATTGTCACATCATTGGGTTTAAAAAGTGAATCACATTCTAATGATAAACTCAAATGAGTTGTTTAATATGAACAAAATAAAATTTTTTAGATTTTATATTTGAATTTTTATATTGTGGTGGTGATGGTAGAGGCGTCGGCGACGACAGTAGTTATGGCGATAATGTTGTAGTAATGGTAGCGTAGTAGTTGAAACACCCTAATTTTATTTACCCGAATCCATTACCAAATCCTTTACATGATTACCACTTTAAATAATTCCATCAATTCCAGAATATGAATAAAGAATAGATAATAACATTCTCTCATGACAATGATGATGGTATATAAATAAAACATTGTACAATGCCCTTAGGCATACATTGAATAACAATAAATAGAAGAGATTTACCCTTATACAGTACGTGGTACTCGGCTAACAGATAAAAAGGCCCCAGGGCCAACAAAGGAAAAGACTTCAAGCCCTGAACTATCTTCCAACCATGTACTTGAAAAGTTTGTCAACACATGAGATGAGCATAAAGCCCATGCTTTACCATTCGCGAACCAGAAGGGAAAAAAACCTATCACAAGGTGCTATGCTTTGCCGACTCAGATATAGTGAGAAACGAACCCTCTTTCACACTTTACCGGGCACAAACCGAAAGGAACGAGGAAACCTCTATGAAGGCGTAATGCTTTGCCAGCTCAATATGGCGGGAAACGGACCCCCAAACAACATCATAATGAAAGCACAACATGCTAAACCAGGTAAGTCAATACACGAGTGTAATATGTACACTTAGTCCAATTACCACAACAACGACGTAATCCACGACACAACCATGGAATTGTCTATTCACAATGTCCATATACAACTTACAACACATCACTCTACATTACATAGCCCACCCTACAATAGTACTCATAGCATTTATCTAGCAACAATCAATACCATCATCCATTGATGGCCAAGGACAAAACTCTAAACGCCAATTGTTTAACAAATAACACCCATATGATTAAACCCAGTTCTAATCGCAATTTAATAAAAGAATTAACGAAATAACAATTTGTTTTCAAAAACCAGTCTCCACACCTCCAAATTCCCAACATACTCAACTCATCAATACCCAGTTGTTGGTTACCAAAGATTCCCAAATGAAATATGTTCAACATAACCCAATACTGAAATTTCGTCCCCGAAATTAAGAAAAACCAAAACCAAGAAAACTCAACAAAGAAGGAAAAACACAACCATCCACCAAAGCTTGATTTATACTTGGGATCAATTCCCAAATTACAATCCAACACATCGGGCCCTAAAGACACCCGAACAACAACAACTCAAGGAAAAGATCACAAACGCCTCTTCAACCCACATAACCCATTGGGGCCTATGAGACAAAACCACAACAACAACCACTTGCACCCGTAAAAAGACAACGACGTCTCAACTGCCAACAACAAGCATGAACCCCACCGAGTGCTCAACACTCAAAACACAGGAGAAAAGAAAATGACCCTCCCAATATAACTCTTGGTCCACCTTCGCAAGGAAAGGGTTCCAACTCACACTACGGCTCAAAAAGAACATTTCTGCACAACAACGCAAAACGCTAACCCTACACAAGACCATACGTACAACCCTAAGGCTAGCAAACCAAACTAGGTCACATCACACAAACTTCACTTCGCGTATCTGAGACTCACGCTCACAAGACCACCTCAAAGTCCCTTCCACCCTTACAACCACTATGCCCAATTCCAGACTATCTCTAAGGTGACTAAATGTCAACCAAAATTCTGAGACACCCTACCTGACTAGCCAACTCATTGAAACTACACATTTGGTACTAAGTGCCGACATGTTGCCCAGTACCGATCACTCCTAGATGGAGTTCACACTCAAAACAATTATCCCTTGAACCTATACTAGATTTCTCAAGCAAGACACCACTATTATTATTTTCAACTAAACCACCACTTGTATGCCTATACAACAAACATGCCCTTTACATCACAACTCAAGACCGATAGGGTTAACGATCATCCACTTAGTCCCGAGCACATGAAACAACCACACACACACACACACACACACACACACACTCATAGCACACCATCCCAACATTTACACATCCAAATCAACTCACCATAAACCATACACCACCAATTTCCAACATACCATAATAGAAGCACAACTCTCACCACTAAAAACAGGAGCCTCATATTCCTTCCCACACACTTTCAGCATCCACTAACGACTCCTACCAATCTCACTGAATTCCAAGGCATCACACTAGCCCAAAACAACATCTAAACACTATATGACTTCATTCTAGCCATAGTAGACTAAACACAACAATAAAAATGCCCTTGCTGCTCAACAAGCAACACCAAACCAAATCAAGGCATCTTAAGCCAGTACACACTCGATCTAGGAAATCAATATGACATGATATAACTAGGATTTCAAATCCTTACAACACTTTTCCACATCTTACAAGCAATTTAAGATTAATTACATACCCACACCCTCTAGGTTCACAAAACATATACATAGGCATATACAATATCTATAGGCATAAAGCCTTACACGAAAGAACATATAATATTACAACATCAAAGAAATAAAACTTCCACTACAACATAACACCACCATCGTCCCCAGCTAGACTACTGAGATTGGCCCTGCCTATGTAGAGGGAAACGACACCGATTGTGGCCTATACAACCACACCTAGAACAAATAGGTTGTCCCTTATTCAAAGATTGACTTGATGAAGCCCAAGTCTGAATGGACCCTCCAAGGGATGAGTCTGAAGAACCAAAAGTAGCTTGAGGTGTCAACAATGCATGTGTTTTGAGATCTTGCCACCCTCCAATTCTTACTAGGCCTACAACCTCACCAGATAGTCAGAATTACTGAAATAGCCTTTTCCTCCTCACCTTGACTAGCATCCAAAAATACGGCTTTCATGTGAGTTGTTGCCTTTACAAGTGTGATAGTCTCTCAACATAGCCCTAACAACCTTTTCCCGAATATCATCACACAACCTCCCTTCGAACTCAAGACAACGATGCTCCTCTGTTGCAACCAACTCTGGAGCAAACATCGACAAACTAGCGAACCTCGCTGCAAACTATGCCAAAGGAATATCATCTTGGCGCAACTCAACAAACTGGTTCCTCAATCTTTCCCGGCAGAAAGAGGAAAATACTTAGCAAAAAAGGCCTTAGTGAATGCAACCCAAGTGGTGCCCATAGAAACTCGCGCAGGCTTTCACCAATGACCAGTGTCTCCCTTCAATTGGAAACCAGCCAAAACAACCCTCAGCTCCTCATTAGTGACTCTGAGCATATCAAGAATCTTAGTAATCTACTCTAACTAGTCATCAACCTCTAGCGGCTTAGGCTCTCCCGGAAACACAGGTGGATTGGAACAGAGAAACTCCTTGGTCAACTTAAGGTTATGCCTATGAGATATCTCATTGCGAACTAGCGCATTTCTCACCGCTCTCACAATCTCGCCGGCAACTTCCTCACCCACAGCTGATGCTGCAGGGACAAGGATTGATGAAATAGCTATACCCTTACCAACACTTCTACTCTCCCTAGAAGACATCCTATAAAACCAAATTAAAACAAACTTAGTGTACAACCAAAGCGGCCTTCCCTAAGAAACACACTTAACATAGCTAACCCATAAGACAACCTTAGCACAAACACCCAATTCGATTGACATAAACGGTTAACATTTAATCACATAATCGAATCAAGTCCACAAGGATAACTAGTCATCTTGGAACTCTCAACGAATCTCATCTGAAACCACGTTGATCAAGCATGTTTCCAATAAGACCTCAAAGCAAGTTCACCGGCTACTAGCACTATCCATGAAACTTAAACCCATGCTCACATAAATGCAATACATATAGTCCTAACATGCATTTCATCTATATGCAAACGTCCTCACTAAGCATAATAAACCCATTGTGGTAAAAACCACTTCTCAAAAATCCATGGTATTCAACTCGGCTCGCTCTGATACTCAATTGTAACACCTCAATTTTATTTACCCGAATCCATTACCGAACATGATTACCACTTTAAATAATTCCAACCTTTCCAGAATATGAATAAAGAATAGATAATAACATTCCAATGATGATGGTAGATAAATAAAACATGGTA